TTCAAATTGCAAAATTTTGGAATGAAAATGAGGATAATCCTGACAATCAAGTGGATACGAAATTGAAAAATACAAGACCTGATCCTGAAATCCAATACTTCATTGTTAAAGAAGGCATTGCTGAACGGGTAGAGAAAGACGCTGCAAATACAGACGATGATGTAGTTCAAGTCTTCCAATGTCCCGTATGTTCAGTACATTTCATTAAGGAGCGGCAGTATCAGTTGCATAAATGTACTAAGATGAAATTCCAGTGCACGGAATGCGATGCCAGTTTTCCGCATAGCCGGTCTTTAAGTGCGCATATGCGAATGCACAGAGATAGGAAGACGAAAACGGAATTGCAGAACTTGCCGGATGCCAACGGTCCTTTTATTTGTGAGCATTGTAACACTCAGTTTGGCACTTACAAATCCCTGCGATTGCATATCCGTATGCATGACCCAGTCAAGAGTAAAGAGATTGAACCTCCCGTCAATTACGGCATCATGGGTGAGGATATCGAGGCGAAAACCAATACGCGAACCATGTTCACATGTAAAATCTGCAATAAGGTTTACGACGAAGGGTATAAAGATATTCATCTGCTTTCGCACAGCACCAAAAATAATTACGATTGTACCATCTGCAATCGGAAGTTCTTTACCGAAAGCAATTTGGAAATGCATTTGAGAGTGCACAACACCGAGAAAACGCAGACTTGTACATACTGCAAAAAGGAGTTTGACGATGCCGCGTTGTTACAGCAACACGTCAAGCAACATATAGAATCTCGTCCATACGAGTGTAGCTATTGCAATCGCAGGTTCATAAGGCCACACGAGAAGGTGAAGCATGAGCGTATCCATACAGGCGAGAAGCCGCACATCTGCGAGCTCTGCGGGAAAGCGTTCAGAGTGAGCTACTGCCTCACACTTCATATGCGAACGCATTCTGGATCCAGACCTTACCAGTGTCAGGAGTGCGGAAAACGCTTCAAAGCTCACTCGGTCTACAACCATCATTTGCTAATACACTCGAACGTACGAAAATACAAGTGCCCTTATTGTCCGAAAGCTTTTAAAACTGCCGTTCAATTGGCTGGTCACAGGAATACCCATACGAAACCATTCACATGTACCGAATGCAACCGACCATTCGCGTCTCTATATGCCGTTAGGTCACATATGGAGACACACAAGCAAGATAACAATTTGAAATACAATTGTTATGCATGCGGAGCAAGTTATGCAAGGGCATTCGCCCTTCGAGATCACATTAAGTCCCATCACGAGGACCAATGGGATAAAGACTACGATCCGATGCTGGAAAGTAGCAGCGCAGCGACTAGTATTCTGCAGGACGAAGATGGAAATGAGATCGAGAACGTTTTCATCGTGGATTCTAATACTATTGTAGATATTCCCCAACAAGATGTAATTATTGAACAAAATTAAACAAAAACGTAGTTTACAATGACGACGAATTCTTATGAATTATTTTTTTGAAAAAAAAAAGGTAAAGAAAACATTCACATATTCAGTTTGTATAAAAAAATCTTATTCCTTTAATAATTAGTTACACGTGATAGCAAGTTAAAAACTAAAACACATAAAATAATAATTGCCTTTTTAAACGGTGTAAATACTTATTATAACCACAATTATATTTTTCTTCTTTTTATTATTATTTGGTTGCAACTATTTATTTCCTCTCGATTAATACATTTCCGTACGAGTGTTCGAAGATCAAGCAAATCACGAAACTACTACACATTGAACTTGATTTTTATTTCGAATTAAATTAAACTTATTTGAAATACATATACATCAATTAAACTCTATTGACATTAAACTTTAATCATACCGAATATAATATTAACGCACACGCCAAATATACCAAATAATTGGACCTATTATACACAATGTATTATAAACAAAAATACACTCGCCTTTTTTCATTAATTCTGGAGTATGGGCTAATATAATCCAATCACGAATGAAATATTTCTTTGCCAAAACTTACATATATATATCCACTCTAAATAATAGTCATTACAAAAAAAAACGTCCACATAATCAAATGAAAATGGAATTTGATAGATGCGTGCATCCATCTTGAAATACATAATCTCAAAACGAAAAAAAAAATGAATACTCTGATAAATTATTCCTCATTTGAAGGTCCAGACACCGTTTTTATATTACTCTTATGCTTCCTGAGGTGTTGTCCTGGTTGATTGTATGGACCTCTGTTGGACGCCATAGAGCTGAAATTTCGAATTAGAACCATACATTATTTCAGATTCGACCATATTGCATTGATCGCATTGGGTGAGCGTTTTCCAACGAAAAGAAATTATAGTAAAACAAGCGTGCAAATTCAACACATACACACAGATAAACTTACATGAATTATATATATAAACAATTTTTATCTTAATTAAATTAGTATTTTCGTGACCTGTAAAAATTCCACACACCTTAAAAAATATAGAAAAAAATCCGTCATGCAAAACTGTATCATTTACCTTGGCAAGCTAATAGTGGGCGGTAGAGCTAAAGGGGAGGATCTAATGCCGCGGCGGGTTGAAATCAAAGGTGATGACACTCTATCCCTAGGACGACGGCTATACATGCACACAGTAATTTTGCAAAATAAATCACGTTCACGGTGCATGAAAAAAAAGATAAAAGCTAGCTAATAAAATACTAGTAATTGTGGTGTTGTTTCCTACCTTGGTCCGGCTGTGATTGCCGGAATGCCACTGGAGGCACTGTAGCTGTGCCTGTTTTGCCGGGACGATGAGCCGCCGGCCGTTATGCGAGGTATCTCGGAACGGCTCTTGCTCTTGGTCACCCATTCCTGATTGAAGTCTTCGGCTTCCTCCTCTTCGATATTGATAAAATCTTGACGTTCTTCCTGATCGCCTGAATGCAGATTTTGTTCTCGTTCGATAATGTGAGCTCTTTCGCCGATGTGATGGCCGATTGCCATCTTCTTTGTGCCAGTTCTGGAGTCGCAGACTGTACGCTGTGTCTCCTTCACACCTCCTGGTGCAGTGCGTGTACTAGACGTGGCTTTGTAAACCTATGACATAAATATTATAATTTATACATTTTAAGTGTACTTTACTAATTAATAATGTTAATTAAATATAACCCACTCATATCAAACACTGAATGATTATATTAAAGGCGCTTCATGCTACTTTGTGTCTCTGAATGTTAAGAAAATATTGATTTGTACTTTCTGCTAAAACCAGATCCTTTTATATAGAAATATCAAATTTATAACATACTGTACAAACTATTATGACTAGATATGTATCAAATCATTAAAAAACGTTACAATTTTCATAACATTGTGAACTTTATATTTCACTTTTATAATTATTAGCAAATTATTGAAAGTGTATATATTATAGAGTTCAAAGTTCATATTTCTTAAAATATTAATCTTGTACAGTACACAAATATAATCTGGAGATAATTATCATAACAGTCTTGAAAAAATGTCATTTCTTGATGACTTTAAACAAAATTATTTATAAAATATGTAATGATTCCATTTAGCTTTTTTAATTCTATTACAAATTATGTAATAGTTATTCATTAATAAAATAATTTGATATTCATAATTCCTGACTATTTAAATTTATAATAATGTTCATATTTTAATACATCTTTTTTTTGTAGAATTTGTTGTAAAGTAGAGAATTAAAAAAAAAAACTGTACCTGTTGACGTCCATCAGGGCCTGATGTCATGCTAACAACTGTGGATGAACTGTAAGAATGTGCTGCATGTGGAGCAGGTGGGCTCAAAGAATCCAAGGAGCCTGTCAGCAAGCGGTTGAAGTTATGTATTGGTGAGAAAGAGTTGAAGTTCATGAGTGCATTATGGATGTTGCTGATGCTGTTACGATGATGATGGTGATGAGCCAAACTCCTATTGGCATTGAAATCAGTGTTCATCATGCCGAAAGGGTCAGTGAACAGTGAATTCATCATATTGTTCATCTGCCTCATGGTCCTCATATGAGACCTGCGCGAAAATATAAATTACAACCAATTGAAAACAATTCAGGAGAGTATAAGCATGGCTGACATTTTATTGGCTTCTTTGCCAAAGAGAATTTCAGCAAAACTCACCCAAAGAACGGATCTTCTTCCATATCGCCCATCAACGAACCAAACAGTGACATTCCTTGGGTAGCTTTCAGGTGAATATTACTATCACCTATGTTGATTTCGAGTAAATAATGTTTCTCGAAATATCACTTAGGTCTTGTCAAAAACTATCAACTGAATATTGAAGCGCAGTGAAGGTAGCTTCTGGAAATTCCAACGTTTCGATTTCTTCTGCAGGACTGTTGGGTATTTCGTTTCGTTCCGTTGGGAGACTTGAATTGTGTTTAATTGTCAAACGTTTCTGAGGGAAGCAAGTGATTTGCAAAATATAGAAAAGTTGAAATCATGGCTACTGAGCGATACAGTTTTTCTTTAACCACTTTCAGGTATTTACAATACTTAACGATATGAACTTTTTAATATTAACTCTCCGAAACGTTTTAGCCCTAGCGGTAAATTGGTACAAATCGAATATGCCTTAGCTGCGGTAGCTGCCGGTGCACCTTCCGTTGGAATTAAGGGTAAATATTATGAACAACGTTAAACTACGATTTTACTATCAAATACTCTTGCAGCTTCAAACGGAGTGGTTATTGCCACAGAAAATAAGCACAAGTCAATTTTATATGATGAACACAGTGTACACAAAGTGGAGATGATTACCAAGCACATTGGTATGGTTTATTCTGGTATGGGACCTGACTATCGCCTTTTAGTGAAGCAAGCTCGCAAAATGGCACAGCAATATTTTATTGTGTACAAGGAACCCATCCCCACAATCCAATTGGTTCAAAGAGTTGCTGCAGTGATGCAAGAATATACCCAAAGTGGTGGTGTTCGACCATTTGGTGTATCTTTATTAATTTGTGGATGGGACAATGATCGTCCATATCTGTTCCAATGTGATCCATCTGGTGCTTACTTTGCCTGGAAATCCACTGCCATGGGAAAGAATTTCATCAATGGCAAGACTTTCCTGGAAAAAAGATACAATGAGGAATTGGAGTTGGACGATGCCGTTCACACTGCGATATTAACGCTAAAGGAGAGTTTTGAGGGCCAGATGAGTGCTGATAACATTGAAGTCGGTATTTGCGATTCAAATGGTTTCAAGAGATTGGATCCGTCCCATGTAAAGGACTACTTGGCCAACATTTCATAAGCAAACATTAATTTATTAATTTCACGTTTTAAAGCGAATATTATAATGCTTCTTTTATAATGTTTTCTTTCTTAATTTGTAATACTTTTAATTGGGTAAAATAAATTACGTTTTTCTGTAAAAGCAAATAAACATTTATAAAGAAAACACTAAACATATGTTCAATAAATTTATTTTTAACAATAGTATTTTAAGTTTCTGTTTAAATATAAAGTTTCATAACAAGTTTCTATTGTAAATAAATTTGCCAATTGATTGTTTTAATTCCTAACAAATTTTCAAATGAAATTAAAGCGAGTCATGTTGTTATACTGGTATATCTCGCCATACTATTGATCAATACGTATCGTAGATTCACATAAATAAGGTTGTAGTCATTAAACAAAAAAGGCTGTTGTAAAGTAATTGTTTACTAATATTTTTATTAATTAAGATATAAAATAGATGCACATCACGGCAGGAAAATTCAATTATAATATATTATTAACAATTATTATGCAATTATAGAAATCTATTATAAATTATTAAATAAATGTAATGATACATAAAAAACATAAATTAATGGTTTTATAGACATTGTGCAAGTTAAACTTAAAAATAAATATAAAAACTGTTTCGTTTTATAAGTTGTGAGCACTGAAATACTGAACTAACTTCGTATTAGTTTAGCAGCTGAATAAGTTTAGTGAAAATATGACAATATTATTGTTCGTAAACAACTTTGGTTCAGGTGTTTTTCATTTAATTTCTATCGGTTTTAAGACAATATTTTAATACAAATGTCGTCCAACAACTATGCCAAGTTATTCAATGTCGACCATTGCTGTTATTAAAAAACATAACCTTCAAAGTTACACACTTAATTCTTTAGATTTTTAGTTTTGTGATAAAAGTGGAGACCAATCTTATAATCATGTAGATTGTGATATTCAGCGAAGTGATAGTTGGGTGTTATTTTTAAGTCAAATAATTTTTATTTATGTCGTATTTTGTGTAATTAACTAACGCAAAAATGTCGATTGTGGCGATGCAACAGTTTGTCGCGGGGCTGAAGTCTCGGCACGCAGATGTCCGCAACAAGGCTGCCCATGATCTGTCTGTGTATGTAAAGACAGAAATGAGGGAGGCAACAGCCGATGAGATAAATGTGTTCCTGGATGAATTCAATCATAATATATTTGAAATGGTCTCTGCAAATGATGTAAACGAGAAGAAAGGAGGCATTTTAGCAATAGGTTTGTGTTTAGGTTTAATTATATGCAATAATAGTTTTAAATAATTTATTTTTAGTGTGTTTAATTGGAGCTGATGTAGGCAATATGACAACACGTATTTCACGTTTCGCCAATTATTTGAGGAATCTGTTGCCTTGCAATGACATAAGTGTTATGGAGAGTGTGGCAAACACTATGGGTAGATTAGCTTTAGTCTCAGGTTCAAAGGCTACAGAGTATGTGGAGTTTGAGGTGAAAAGAGCATTTGAATGGCTTGGAGGTGATAGGCAAGAAGGTAAAAGACATGCAGCAGTGTTGGTGTTAAGGGAGTTAGCACAGACAATGCCTACATACTTCTATCAACAAGTGTCACCCTTCTTTGATTTGATATTCCATGCTGTCCAAGATCCTAAACCTGTAATAAGAGAAGGCGCAGTGGATGCGTTAAGAGCAGCTCTGGTTGTAACAGCTCAAAGAGAATCAACCAAACAAACGCAACATCCGCAATGGTACAAGTTATGTTTTACCGAAACCACGAAATTGCTAAATGTGGAAAAGAATGATAAAACCAGGGATGACCGAGTTCACGGCGCGTTACTTGTCCTGAACGAGTTGGTCAGATGTTCGAACGCCGAATGGGAACGCAAATATACAGGTTTAATTGAAAGCATGGAGAGCGTCCATGATCGAAATATTTACACAAAGCCAAAGTTTGGTTTTGCTAAGCGGAATCCGCAATATCAAAATGATGGCAAGGGAAGTATTTTACCAGTTGTGACGGAATCTGCAGAATGTCGCCAGTTAATTTCTGAAAATTACGACTACATTTGTTTGGACGTACTAACACAACGCACCTCCCGTTATACTTATACGCAGCAGGTTTTAATTGCCATTTTACCTCGCTTGGCCGCTTTTAACAAGGAAATGTTTATAGAAAAACATTTACCAATTGCAATGAACTATCTGCTAGTGAATTTAAAAAACAGAGAGAAAGAAAGGGGAGCTACATTCATAACGATCGGATTGATTGCTGTAGCTGTCGGCGATGCTATTAGACCATACTTTTCAAAAATCATGGAAGCTATCAGAATGTCGCTTCCTAATAGAGAAACGCCCACCAAGAAACGTATAGCAATCGATGCCAGCGTCTTTAAATGTATTTCATTCTTGGGATATGCTTTAACTAGTTCTATTCATAAAGATATCCAAGATATTTTAGAACAAATGTTTCAAACTGGATTAACATCATCACTGACCGTCTGCTTGAGGGAATTAGCCAGATTAATACCAGAATTGAAACCTCAGATAAATGTGGGACTATTAAAGATGCTTTCACATATTCTGATGAACAAACCTCTGATGCATCCGGGAATGCCGCGGCAAATGAATACACCTAATCTAGGCATGGGCGACAGTTGTGATATTCCTAGCACTGTATTGGCTTTGCACACTTTAGGAAATTTTGATTTCGAGGGTCAGAGTTTGTTAGATTTTGTGAAACGATGCGCCGATTTTTATATATTGCACGAACACCAGGAGATTCGCTTGGAAGCTGTACGAACATGCTCCAGGTTATTGAAGCAAACTGTAATCGAAGAGAAGACCACGATGGTCAATGATACAGTGGCAGGAGTTTTAAACAAATTGTTGGTCGTTGGTATGACTGATACAGATCCAGACGTAAGATTTTGGGTTCTATATTCATTAGACAATACTTTTGATAGTCATTTATCTCAAGCAGAATCGTTGAGCGCATTATTCGTTGCACTTCACGACGAAGTGTTTGAAATTAGGGAAGTTGCTCTTTGCACGATCGGTAGATTAAGTGCAATGAATCCTGCATACGTTATGCCTTCGTTGAGAAAGATACTTGTACAGTTGTTGACGGAATTGGAGCATTCTGGTACAGGCAGGAACAAAGAACAAGGTGCTAAAATGTTGGATTATTTAATCGTCAGCGCTCCCAGACTAATCCGCCCGTACATGGAACCAATGTTAAAAGTCTTAGTGCCTAAATTGCGCGATCCAGAGCCATATCCAGGTGTAGTTTTAGCAGTACTCTTGGCTCTTGGTGATTTAGCAGAAGTAACTGGAGGCGGAGTGGAACTTCAGTTGTGGATGCAAGAATTAATGTCGATATTATTGGAAATGCTAGGCGATGCTTCTGCTCCGGAGAAAAGGGGAGCAGCTCTTTATACATTGGGACAGTTGGTTGGAGCTACCGGACACGTGGTTAAACCATATAACCAGTATCCAATACTGTTAGACGTGCTGATCAACTTTTTAAAAACGGAACAACTGTTGTTCATCCGTCGTGAAACAATACGTGTCTTAGGATTATTGGGTGCTTTGGACCCTTACAAACACAAAATGAATAGAGGTCAAATCGACTATCAACCAGAATCTCCAGTTCTTATACCTCTTACAGATAAGGATGACGATGGCAATGCAGATTTAACATCTAGCGAAATGCTAGTAAATATGAGCTCAAACACGTTAGAAGAGTACTATCTGGCAATGGCAATCGCAACGCTAATGAAAATCATTAGAGATCCAACGTTATCGCAACATCATACCATGGTTGTTCAAGCTGTCACATTTATATTTAAAAGTCTGGGTATCAAATGCGTACCTTACATTTCGCAGGTTCTGCCGAGTTACCTGAATGTAGTACGAACTGCAGACATAAATTTCCGTGAATTCTTGTTCCAACAATTAGCTCATTTAATTTCCATCGTAAAGCAGCATATTCGTAATTATCTTGATGATATTTGTCTGCTCATAAAAGAATTCTGGACACCGTCGAGTACCATTCAAACAACGCTTATATTGTTAATTGAACACATTGCTGTTGCACTGGGGGCGGAATTTAAGCTGTACCTACCAAAGTTGATGCCGCAAATATTGCGCGTTCTTAATCATGACCAATCCAAAGATCGAGTTGTAACATTAAAATTATTAGGGGCATTATATAAATTTGGAAATAATCTGGATAATTATATGCATTTAATTTTACCGCCCCTCGTGAGGTTGTTTGATGCTCCCGATTGTCCAACTAACGTATCGAAGCAGGCACTTGAAACTGTAACACAACTCGCCGAGATTTTGGATTTTAGCGATTTCATTTCGCGTATAGTGCATCCATTGGTTCGGACTATGGACATGAATGCGGAATTAAGAGGCGTTGCTATGGAAACACTATGTTCATTGGTGGTGCAGCTTGGAAGAAAGTTTAAAATATTTGTACCGCTCGTGAAAAGAATTATTATTAAACATAAAATACACAATTGTTTGTAAGTATTCTATTGCGTATTCCAATCAGTCTTATTAATATATGTTTTTTTGTATATTCTCAGATACGACATGCTTATTAGCAAAATTACAAGCGACACGACGTTAGCAGACGACTCGGACTTCTCGTTGGTTAAAATGAAGATAAAAGTTAAAAATAGGGAGGCGAATGTTTGCACTATGGATTCAACTATGATACAGCGTTTGAAAGTTTCTGCCAAAAATTTGGAGCAAGCATGGACTGCAACGCGTCGCGTTTCCAAAGACGATTGGCTTGAATGGTCTCGGCGATTAAGTATAGAATTACTGAAGCAATCTCCTATTCCGGCTTTGCGTTCTTGCTTATCGTTAGCCCAATCGTATCCACAGTTACCCAAAGACTTATTCAATGCAGCGTTTGTTAGTTGTTGGACTGAGTTAAGCGAAGGAATGCAGAAGGAGTTGATTAAAAGTCTGGAGCAGGCGTTGCTGGTTGCTGATATCCCGGAAATAACGCAAACTATTCTGAACTTGGCGGAGTTCATGGAGCACTGTGATAGAGGACCGTTACCTATCGATGCAAAATTATTGGGCGAGAAAGCGATGCACTGCAGGGCTTACGCAAAAGCGTTACATTACAAGGAGGAGGAATTCCAACGCGGCGAGAACAGTCATAACAGTCAAGTTGTGGAGGCTTTAATTTCAATCAATAATAAATTGCAGCAGAAGGAAGCGGCCGAAGGTTTACTGCAATACGTAATGCAATTTAGTCCCGATCGTCCTTTACAAGTGAGGTGGTATGAAAAATTACATAATTGGGACAAGGCGTTGAGTCTGTATACAGAACGATTGAAAGCAGATTACAATGATTACGATGCTTGCTTGGGACAAATGCGCTGCTTAGAATCGTTGGGAGAATGGGAAAATTTACATAAACTGGTAGAAGAAAGGTTTGATGGCTTGGAGGCGGATAAGAAACAAAAGGCGGGTCGGTTGGCGGCTGCGTCTGCATGGGGCATGAAGCATTGGGTTTCAATGGAGAGGTACGTGAAGGTGATACCGCGCGATACACAGGATGGAGCTTTCTACAGAGCAATTCTGTCCATACACAAGGAACACTATGATGAAGCACAGAGGTACATAGACATGGCTCGTGATTTAATCGACACAGAATTAACGGCCATGGCAGGTGAATCGTATGAAAGAGCTTACAACGCTATGGTTGTTGTTCAAATGCTTGCTGAGCTTGAAGAAGTCATACAATACAGATTGATACCTGAAAGAAGACCAACCTTAAAAGCTATGTGGTGGCAAAGATTGCAATCCGGACAGAGACTTGTTGAAGACTGGCAGAGGATTATTCAAGTGCATTCGTTAGTTTTAACTCCCAAAGAAGATATGCACACGTGGCTTAAATACGCATCACTTTGCAGGAAAAGTGGTTCATTGGTATATTGAAAATGTATGTAATAGTTTAATTAATTTAACAAATTTATTTTCTTTAGATGTTGTCTCATAAAACATTGGTGATGTTGCTTGGCTATGATCCAAGTATGCATGAGGAGATTCAACTACCTTACAATCAACCTCAGGTATCGTTTGCATATACCAAACACATGTGGATGGCAGGCGAAACAGTTTTGGCTTATAAACAATTGGAAACGTTCCTGAAATCATACTATCCAGACAATACCAAAGGAGACATTGTCCATCACGAGGACAGACAAAGGTTGCTTGCACGCTGTTATTTAAAATTGGGTGATTGGCAGAAAATATTGGACGGTGTCACGGAAAAGTCTATACCTTCAATGTTGCAAAGGTACAAAGATGCTACTGAACATGACAAAACTTGGTACAAAGCATGGCATTCGTGGGCTTACATGAACTTTGAAACGGTTCTATTTTATAAGAATAAAGCTGAGATTAATAAGAGCACGGATTATATAATTTATATAGTTCGAGCTGTTCAAGGTTTTTTCAAATCGATAAACCTTTCAAAGGGAAGTTCATTGCAAGACACTCTGCGTTTATTGACCTTGTGGTTCGACTATGGACAAATTAACGAAGTTTATGATGCCATCACTGATGGGTTAAGAACTATTGAAAAAAATACTTGGTTACAAGTAATTCCACAACTAATTGCGCGGATTGATTCGACTACTTTAGTCTCGCGTTTAATCCACGAATTGCTTATAGACATTGGAAAAACGCATCCGCAGGTAAAATTTATTCAATATTTCACATATATTGTCTATATTTATTTATTTTGTTATAGGCTCTTATATACCCATTAACTGTAGCATCGAAAAGTACATCGATGGTCAGGCAAAATGCTGCAAATAAAATTTTGAAATCTATGAGTGAGAATGGTCCTACTTTAGTTCAACAAGCTATAACTGTTTCGGAAGAACTTATTCGCGTGGCGATTCTATGGCACGAAATGTGGCATGAAGGACTCGAGGAAGCTTCCAGGTTATACATACTTTCACCTAATATTAATTGATGTTTATTTTTTATTTTTGTATTTCTTTTAGATTATATTTTGGAGAAAACAATATTGACGGTATGTTCAAAGTTTTGGATCCACTACATGCGCGTTTAGCTTGCGGGCCGCAAACACTTAAAGAAATAAGTTTTACACAAGCTTATGGCAGGGATCTAGTTGAAGCGCAAGATTATTGTCAACGATTTAAGGTAAAATTAATTTATCTGGTGATATTTATACGAAATTTAAAATATTGTTTTTAGACTAACAAAACTAAACGAGATTTGAATCACGCCTGGGATTTGTACTATCACGTGTTTAGAAGGATAACAAGACAATTGCCACAGTTGACGTCCTTAGAATTGCAGTACGTTTCTCCGAAACTGCTGACTTGCAGGGATTTGGAACTGGCTATTCCTGGTAGTTATTGTCCAGGACAAGCTATAGTTAGAATTTCTCACATACAAAGTTCCTTAGAGGTAGTATAAACGTAAATATTGATTTATACTTATTAACTTTTTTATTTGAAGGTAATCACGTCAAAACAAAGGCCAAGAAAATTGTCCATAAGGGGAAGCAATGGGAAAGATTATATGTTTTTGTTGAAAGGTCATGAAGATCTGAGACAAGACGAGCGTGTCATGCAAATATTTGGATTGGTTAACACCTTATTGCTGAAAGATCCCGATACATTCAGACGAAATCTAACAATTCAACGTTATGCTGTGATTCCTTTGAGTACGAATTCTGGTTTGATCGGTTGGGTTCCTCATTGCGATACTCTGCACACTCTTATTAGGGACTACAGAGAGAAGAAAAAGATACTGCTAAATATAGAGCATAGGATAATGTTGAGAATGGCTCCGGATTACGATCATTTGACAGTAATGCAGAAGGTGGAGGTATTTGAACATGCGTTGGAACATACGCATGGTGATGATTTGGCTAAACTACTATGGCTTAAAAGTCCTTCATCTGAAGTGTGGTTTGATAGAAGAACGAATTATACTAGATCATTGGCTGTAATGTCAATGGTCGGTTATATTTTGGGTCTCGGGGATCGTCATCCATCGAATCTTATGTTGGATCGATTAAGCGGGAAAATATTGCATATAGATTTTGGTGACTGTTTCGAGGTGGCAATGACCAGGGAGAAATTCCCAGAGAAAATTCCGTTCAGATTAACGAGAATGTTGATCAACGCTATGGAAGTAACCGGAATCGATGGCACCTACAGACGAACATGCGAGAGTGTTATGTCCGTGCTCCATAGGAATCGTGACAGCGTTATGGCAGTTTTAGAAGCCTTCGTTTACGATCCTTTATTGAACTGGAGACTTGTCGATACTGCAGCTAGGAATAACAAATCTACGAACGATGTTAGCATGTCAGGTACAGGTCCGTCATCTCAAGACCAGGACTCCTCATTGAGCATAAATATGTCCAGAAAGGGTGCAAATATCATTGATGGTTTAGTCGATAGCTCGCAGCAATATGAGGCGGTCAATGAGAAGGCGGTGGCAATTATAAATAGAGTTAGGGACAAATTAACAGGGAAAGATTTCATAAGGGATGGCACCTCTACCGTTAATTCGCAAGTCAATCAGCTTATTATTCAAGCAACAGATAATGAGAACCTGTGCCAGTGTTATATAGGCTGGTGTCCATTCTGGTAAACAAAAATGTACTTTTCTTTCTGTTTTATTATAATTTTTCCTTTCTTTTTTGTTAGTCACCTAAGTTATTGTACATTTTTTTTATTATTAAGAATTTAGTTTAGATTTTAAAAAATGCAACAAGTTATTTATATTTCATGTCTCCAGACAGGTTTCCTTTTTTCTGAAAAACTCTTGATTCCTTCCTTACCATCTACTCCATTTATATTGTCCACCATCACATTGCCACCTAGATTGTATGCAGTTTTTAAATCTTCTCTAATTTGTTTATAATAGAACCTCTTCCCCAATTCTATAACAGCTCTGCTTTTACTTCTAATGGCATTGCATAATTTGTTAATCTCTTCATCTAAAGCCTCTGGAGTTGGCGTTACTGCTGCAACAAGACCACTGGATTTGGCTTCATCACTAGTTATGTGTTCTCCAGTAAGAAGCATCTTCAAGGCTGTAGACTTATTTACACTTCTTGCCAAAGCAATGCCTGGAGTTGAACAAAAGATACCAAAGTTTGCCCTGCAATATCAAACATCTTGCATTTAGAATTATCCCAGTAATAAGTAAATATCTACCCTGGAGTTGAAAATTTGCTTTTCTCTGTACACACAGCTAAATCACATTGGGCCACCAACTGGCAACCTGCTGCAGCAGCCAAACCATCTACCCTTGCTATTATTGGAACAGGATGTTGAACAATTGCATCCATCAATTTAGCACATAAGTTAAATATATGCATGTGCTGGGCCCTACCACAATCCTCTGTCTGCATTACATTCAACAGTTAACATTTATTACTTTCAACAACATGATTATTATACCAATTCTTTTAAATTGTGACCAGCAGAGAATATTGGACCATCTCCAGCTAAAACAATTGCCCTCAATTGTGGGTCATCTCTGTTGTTTTCAATTTCCTTCAATAAGTTTTCCATCATTGCCACTGATAGAGAGTTACTAAAATAGTAATTTAAGAATTGTTCTTTCCAATAAAATTAATTATATCACCGTGTTTTTCCATGGCACATCGTAATTTTACGAATGCCATTCTGGAAGTCACTGCTCGTGTAAATTTCTCCAGATTTACTTGAGCAACTTCTTTGGAAATTCAGATTAATAACCTGTTAAACATTTCATGAGTACAATATTAAAACAATATATATAACTTACATTTTTAATAAGTTGCAACTGCTTCATTCTATTCATTATGTAAATGTTATCTGAACTAAACTAAGTAAAAGTAAACATAAAAACCGGACTTCACAATCGAATGACCTCTAACTAAATCATTTATGAAACTTAGGAGATAACCAATATTTCGGAAAGATTTAATTGTATGAATGCAACTTTTAATATTGCAATCAAATAAAGTTGCCTATAGATGTACATGAATCTGGTCTTAAGTTTTATAGTTAAGTAAAGTTTGTAAGTAATATCATAATAAGAGCCTATAGACTTATATCATTTCCTCCGAAATGATATAAATATAGTTATATAATACATATAACGAAATAATTAATGTACTTTATTAAATTCTATAAATCAATTTTATTTAAAAACAATAAATCATCATATGTATCTTAAATGTAACCCAAGATAGAGAAAGAAAAGAATCCGAAGGTGGCTGAAAATGGTATTGTTAATATAATTGGTAGGTAATTAAATATTCTTCGGAAAGAAGTTGAATTTTATCAATTACTTTGATTACATTCGTTAATGGAGAAGAAGGGAAAAAGAATGGAAAAGAAAAGGGAAGAAGTAATCGATTAATTGTATTTGGATGTAATCTCGGAGAGAAAGGACTAGTATGAATGTGTCTGTTGTACGTGGGTATCTGGGGCTGCTGGGGTGGTTTCCCTCACCAGGATAATAATTCGAACGGGAGCCTGGCTGGCGTCCGTCTGGCGCGCGTTTTCCTTTTTCTCTCTCTCCCTCATCGGGAAAAGCCACCCCCGTTCCACAATACCTCCCCCCGAATCCCGTCGCACTTACATTTCCAAGCCAATCTCTGAAATTATTCCGCATTTCCCCAATCAAAAAAGGTGAAGCATAAATTCCGCAACATTTCGCATTCAATCATACAATTAACGTTACACACCTGGTTATTAAAGTATTTCACACGTAATATAATATTTAATAATACAAAGTATTATTATACTGAATTATGAAGACAATCTGGTATAGTTTTACGTGGTTTTCTATTAAATTATTAATCGACTGAAAAGTTTTTCTGTATTAAGATTTGCTTCTCCACTATATTGTTTTATTAGAATCATAAGTTACAGTTATATTATAGTTATGTCGTGTAGCCTTCAATGAGGACTATACCAGATATTTAAACATCAAATATATATTTCGTTTGTTTCGAATTTAAAATTTAGATGACAGTCCATCTAGCGGCCATATTGAAACGTTTAGTGAAATTGTTAAACAATGTGCTCATCTTTTGCGATGGACAGCGAATCGATCGTGTACAAGGACTACTTCAACCTGTGGTTCGGCGAGTTGGGAGGATCCGAGGTCTACAAGGAGCCGATCCTCAGCGACTTCACCCTGGACAAAGTAAAGTTGTTCTGCTACAGTTTGCAGCAGGACACTCACGTCTTCCTGATGGCCGTCGACGTTCTGGAAAGGTACATCTCGACCAAGAATCTCCTGGGACTTGAAATAGAGGACCCTTTGCTCTACATCATCACCATCATCTACCTGACCGGAAAGCAAACCGGTGACCTATCCGGTTTCAAGACGGAAACTCTGATAGATCTGTACGTGAAGCTGACTCAGCGCCTGCTGACAAATGGCCAGATCAAGACTGCAGAAATCGATATTCTGATGACGCTCGACCACACGCTGCCTCTGCACACGAAGATCGATGATATGAATCTGTTCCTGCAGTACTACCAAATACCTGATCTCGATGTGGATTTTCAACCGCTTTGCGAAGAAATCCTTAACTTTTACGTCGTCAACAGTTTGAGAATCTTCAATAGAATCAAACTGAATTACATGAAGAAACAGGAAGCTCTCAACGCGTTCGTAGACATATACAGCAAACGTTTATATTTACCCATAGGAATATTCCTGAGCGCCATAAAAATGTCCTCAAGACTAAGGACAATTTTGCATTATAAAACCATCGTTTTGGAACTGAGCGAACTCAGCTTCATACACGAAGATCATCTCAACATTCTCGCCAAAGAGATTTACAATTCTCGCAAAGAATTACACAAACAATTGTAATTAAATTAGTATTCATTTGATAATCAAAATTCAGATTAAGTTAATATAATTTTGTTCATATTAATCATGTTAAAACAAATGCAAAAAATAACTGTAAGTTTAATTCACTCGAATTGAATCTCGCTTATTTATTAATTGTCTCTGAAGAAACTAGATTATACAGAGCTTTTCGAACTTGTTGCACGCGTCCTACATTCCTGCATATGCTTCATGTATGTATGTTATTACAATCCTGGAAGATATACAAAGGGAGGAAATTCCAACTAAGCGTTATTAAATCAGACATTGGGTTGTCTATTACAATAGGAATTGCGGTATACCTTTCTACCATCAACTCAATTTTAGTTCCAATCCGGACTGTTATTAAGACTTGATGCGGAATAGTTTGAGCAAAACAAACATACTCTTATTTGCATAATATCAAGCTACAACAATCTCTAAATAACTTAATTTCGTTTCCTTAAGCATTATTATTGTTTTCTCTATTTGTAAGATATTTCCTTTTTTATATTACTACATTAAATAGAACATGTTTAAAATAAAATTATATAACAGTTTTCTTAATATAATTACAACCCTATTCACATCCACATGTTGTTATCAAGTGCGTGAATTCCCCAAGGACTTCCCGCTTCTTCAACTTATTTCTAAGCAATGAACGATAACAAAGTTCCTAAAATATGTAAATAAAAGATGTTCCTACAAATGGGGGAGAGCGCTTTTCGCCGTTTCCAACTTTAAACACGACATTCTTTTTTTTTTATATATAACCGAAGGCGTCGCAGAAGAAGATTGATGGATGCGACGGTAACTTGATTTTGCATCTAAGATTCACGTCTCAAGTTTCGAGAAGACACTAATTAGCATCTATTTAACCGTTTCGTCGGAAATGCTGAATTATTGATGTCCTTTCAATGAGAATTTCGACATGCACATTTTTATTTTTGCACCAACAAAGATTTTATGTTTAATTCAACAAGTCCGGACAGCCGTTTTTTCGAACGGCGGAAATTCAATGCGTTCATTTAAATAATTCTTGTCAGAATTACAATTTGTACAATAGGAAACCGCAAATTCCATGCAAACTTCTACACTCCAACAAAATATATAGAAAAAAATGAACGTATTGTCCGCATTGTTTCAAATGTAATTATTGGAATTTAATTTTTGCCTATGATTGCTATGCGATTTGGTTTTGACTCAAACAAAGCAGACTGTACTTTTTTTCAATTGTTTTTACAAGATTTTGTAAATATCGATATTTACATTAAATTGTATTCAGTATACTCAATATATTTATTTAAATTTGATAATTTACGCAATATTTATTTACAAGTAATTAGCTCAAAATTGTTTTTTTTATCTACTATACACCTATATTATCTGTTTTACATTGATTTATAGTATGTGGCAAGAATGAAGACATTTTTTTTAAAGTAAGACAACGTTTCTCAACCTATTGGGACAAATGACAGCTGTTAACTAGTATTACTAAAATACTTAATTAATTTCATAATAAGATTATACAATACTTTTCTATTTTTTCTTTAAGTTATAAATTCTTTTATGTACAGAAATTGGAGACGTGATACGTTCTTACAATTGAATCAAGATACGATCGTTCGTCGTTCAGTGTATTCTATTTCTGATTGAATTATGTAATTTGGTAAGTTCGAATTCAGAGACGTGACATTTCCTCGTAGTTAGACAATGATGATGATACGATCGATTATAATACACGCGAGGTGTTGATGGATCCGATGCTAATGGGAATCCGAGCATGTGCAATTAATTAAGGGGATGGCTTATTATTGGAATTCCGGGAATACCAATTTCGAAGAGGATGATTATCCGTAAACTGACGTTCGCGAATGCGAAACGCGTTAAAATGTATACATCAATATTTGAGAATGCCTCAAGGTGCACACGATATTTACGATCCGCAATATCTGTCCAAATAAGAAAGTATTTGTAACTTCAAAGCTACGCTGAAGTGGATCGTGGAAATTGGCGTGGTCTTGTTTTGCACGCAAATTGCCGGTGTAACCAAACACTCGACGGTATATACATACACAGCCGGTGGGCAAATAAAACTGTCATCAAAGCAAATGCATTTGTCCTTTTTAATTGCATTTAATTAACATCATCAATTACGATCGTCTATCTTTGGGCCCATCGGCAGGATAATAACAAAATAATAATAAAAAAATGTACACAAATGCATGTACAGAGAGAGAATGGAACGAAAATACTGATTGTCACGTACAGCAAACGAATTACTAATTAATCGGGCTGGGACGTTGCGTCGACGAAAATCGATCGAAAGAATTATCTAACAAAATGCATGGATTAAAAACAATCAGAATTAAGCCTATCAAAGAGCATTTTAAATTGCTTTATTTTTTTTATTGGAATTGTAATTTAAATTCACCTAACTACAGAATTTGTTAATGTAACGCAAGAACGTTTCTGTAGTTAAAGAAGTTGTGTAGAATCTGCTTCATTTTCGTCTTTAACTACTTTTATTTTATTTATTTATTTATTTTTTCGGGAGGAGAGGAAAACCTTGCATAGGGATTCGTGGTACTGTGGGATTCTTACCTACTAAAAACCTCTTCTCTTCTTTGTCAGCATTCAGGTCCTGTTTATTGATACTGCTTTGAAATGTTGATTGTCTCACCTGCTAGGCTAAATCAGTGTTGACTTCCACTGCCTTTTTCTTCGTTTTCTCTCTCCATTCTCCTCTGATCTTCTTCCTTGGTAGAGAGTACATCTGACACATACCTTGCAATTTCTTTCGCAATTGTCGCTGCTTTTCAACAGTTCACTGCGGGGTTAGAACAACTCCCGAGGTTTGCTTCAGTTACAGGAAGCATCAACTGTAGCAACTACCAGCAATACCTCCTTCGTCGCGATGAATTGGAGATATTTACTGAAACATCCGTGTCCAGAAAGCGCCTGTGACAAATGGAATGTTACTTCCCCGTGGTTTCTATTAATCCAAAGTTTGATTTCTGGGATGAGTCTTCTAGTCCTGGTTCCCTTCTCTGAAATTTGCTATTTTTCCTGCCAAGTTTGCGACAGTCTGTCTCTCGCATCCGTTTTGATAGCGCCCGTTGAACTCTATTTTCTCTCTGTGGCAAGTATTTCTATAGGTGGCACTCCCGCTGTTTCTTGTACAGCATCTCATGAGATTGTCCGGTATGCACTGATTGCACTCTACTGCTTTTATTTAGAAGTCCTCATGTATCCTGTTACTTCTTATTCTATGAATAGAGATTATCGTTTTTTCTTGCACATTTTATCCAAAATTTTAATTAGTGAACTTACTGCTTCAATGCAATACTAATATTTTTAGAAATAAACGTATAATTATGTTGTGGTTAATATATTTGTATGTGGGTTGTTCGGAATTTAATTACGTATTTTTGGATCAAAATAAAAGGCGATATTTGTATTAAACAATAATTTAACCCCATTTTTTAAAGCAAATAAACCCTGAAAATTCATTAAATTACTAAATATAATTTAATAAACAGCAGTCTTACATACAGTTTGCTGAAAAACTTAGAAAAATATATTTAAGTGCCAATAATCCAATGGTTAAAGAAGTTGTGTACAATTTGCTTCACTTTCTTTCTTAAGTGCATTTACTTAGCTGTTTCCTCTTATTGTATATATATATACAAATGTGTTAAGAAACGAAAGTTTGAATAACTACAAAAATGTTAGAATATTTATTTTAAAATGTATAACGCGATTTCATAACACACTTTTGACATTTGACAAATTTAATATAAACTTTATTATGTGCATCCATCAAATATTATATATGTGCATCCCCCAAGCTTCGTATTGTTTGAACGGAATTTGATATTTGGATAGTGTCTATTCATTGCGTCATGAACCGTACTCAAATCTGATATACTCGAAGCCAGAAAATCTAACTGCTATTTGTATAAGTAGACGCACGTAATCTAACATTAATTAAGCAACGCGAATTATAATGACGGAGACCCCATCCAATTAAAAAAAAGCTTCAATGTTCATCATCGAGTGTGCTACTTTTAATTGAACATAGATTTCTAAGCTCATTTCAATTATAGAAGCTTGGTTCTTCATTTTTGTTTGCTCTGTCGTTTTAATTGGAAAAATTCTTTAAAATCTTTATAAATTAACTACTTTTATTGAATGTTTTAATTGAGCATTTAAACATTTATTTGTTTCATTTATAAAAAAAAGAAAATTAGTTAATAGAATTTCTTATTATGTAAGATACATTTTTGAAAAATCAACTAAAGAATGTGCACAGGATTTTTAAACTCAAATTAACTATTTTACAGTTATATTAAAAAAATATATTTATTTTGTAGTATTATATAATTTTAACAAAAAATGTGAAACTCGGTAGGATTTCTAAACTCGTTTCCATTAAACAAGCTTGGTTTTTCTTTGATCTCTTACGAAAAGCTGTCTTTTTAATTAAAATTTAAAATCGTTATAAAACTAACTTTTTTAACAGAATATTTAACGGATATTGTGTTTGATAAACTTGTTTATTTTTAGTATATATTTTGATATACAATGAGAAAGAAGGACGCGCTTTGAATGATGTGATTGCAAACAAATGTATTGACTGCAATCACTTTAGAAGGATCATAAAAGGTTTTACGATCCTTCCGATGCTCATTACTGTTTCTCGAAGAGATCATTGAACCGATGGTATGTAAATAAGTAAAGTAACTATTTTATATCTAGTCTTGAATTTCGCTATTATCTATTAACACTGATGTAAGTGGGAAATTGATCACAGCCTAAAAGGAAACAATATTCCTAAGCAAATATTGATAGGATAAAATGTTATGGTCTCTTTTTATAGCATTATCTTTAATATCAACCTATCAATCTGGATGTTATTAATGCAGTTTTGAAATTACTGTAATGATGGATTTCTTTTAAAAATAGTCATTTATGACTTGTAAGCAAAATAATACATGTTT